CTCTCTCTCTCTTTCTCTCTCGCTAATGTTCATTAAATATTACATCAATACGTTAAACCGATATGTGAATAAGTAATTCAGTCTGAGCTTTAGTACTTAACTTTCTCGCCGTTTTGTTATTTTTGATTATCTTCTTGGTCATACTAAGTAACTGTAGAACCCTGCAACTTTGTCACGCTTTATCTCACAATGACTTTGGATAACAAAATTCTTAAACTTTTAAATTTTTAAACAATATTTAAATCTAAAGATAATGCATCACCGTCAATGTAAGAACATAACTAATACGAATACGAAGCTTATAACAGTCTAGCTTGGATCTTAGTTACTTATATATTAATTTTGCGTGAATTTATATGCTAATATATGTAGTCTTTCTAAACTGTGTGCCGAACAATTGTTGGTCTTGAAACGCAACTCTAATAAACTACCGTAGTACTATTACGAATTAAATTGGTTAACAATTTAATCATTAATTGATGCTCTTTTTTGGCATCTTATATCGATGTTAAACATATATTAAAATCTGAAAATAAGTCTTATTGCGAAAAATATTTTAAATTTAAACTTTAAGTAAAAAAAACATGGGGTTTCTTTAGTTAATCCTTCGAGTTAATAAAAAGAAATAATACAATATGAATCGCTTAAAAAAGTTACAGTAATGTAAAAAAATCATTAAGATATGTTGCACTTTAAAGTGACAAGTTAGGATTAATAATATTTCGGTGTAAATTTATATACACATTTAGTTCTATAATTTTTAGATCTATTGTTGATTATTGTTTTATTTACGCATACATATTGTAAATTGTCTATTCTTTAGGTTGTAGAAGTGTCGAGGAGTTCCAATGTCTAAATCGAATCGAAGAAGGTACATACGGAGTCGTATACAGGGCACGTGATAAACGTACGGAAGAAATAGTCGCGTTGAAACGATTGAAAATGGAAAAGGAAAAAGAAGGCTTTCCGATTACAAGCCTGAGAGAGATCAATACTTTACTGAAAGCACAACATCCCAATATTGTTACCGTGCGGGAGATAGTCGTCGGCAGTAATATGGATAAGATATTTATTGTTATGGATTATGTGGAGCATGATCTGAAATCCCTAATAGAAACCATGAAGCAGAAGAAACAAGTTTTTATACCTGGTGAGTACATTCTGTTATATAATGTAATGTAGGGAACTAATTGAACAGTTAGGCGTAATAACAAGATAAACCGAAAAATGAAAAATGATTTTAACAGAGATATAAGTTATAAATAACGTTTAATCATAGACTAGCAATCTAAGGTACACATTCTGTGCTGTACCGATTTTAAATGATTTGATCATCTCTCACTGATGGATCTACAATATTTTTATTTATTATTAATAAAGTTATAAGGCTCTGTAAGTATTATATATAGAACAAAGTATATAGAAGAAGGGCAAATAGCCAGTAACACAATTAAGAAATTTTAATTTAAAAGATAATCATCATGTAAATAAAGTAACAAAGAAGTTCAATATAAATAATACAAAGAAATTTAATATCTGGAGACACAGTAGTGTCTTGGCGCTATAAATATTACAGACGTTTCGACTCCGATCGGGTCATTCTCAATGTTACAGTTAATATAAATTATAAAAAACATTAAATATTGCTTCTACAGAAAGTCGTTATCGGCCATTATCTGTTCTTTATATGCATAATGCTTCTATAAATTTCGTATTCTTCATTTTGTGCAATGTTGCGAATCGAGTTAGTAATAAAAAGAAGAAGAAGAAGAGAGAAGCAAGTATAGTCATCTACATCGTAGTGGCACACATTAGTATGTATTCTTGTAAGCAATGTTACATAACAAGTTTTTATTTATGTTTATTATATTTGTTGAATAACAGTATATTTTATAATGGTTAAAAAATTTAAAAAATATTATGAAAAATATATAAAAAGATTTAATATATTAATTTCATAATTATGTATGTACGTGATGTTAGAAATTATTTTATAATTACGTTTCTTTTTATAATTCAAAAACAAATTGGAGAGAATAAAGGGCAATAGGAGTCGGACGCAGAAGTCGCGCAATTAAAAACACCACTACTAAGTGACAAAAACCATTTATTCGAAATAACTTTTATTATGATAGTAGCGCTCTTTTTATAATCAAAATATTAAACGGAAAGTCCAGCATGTATGAGTCAGTGACGCATGCGACATTGAATGTGTTAAGGATTTGTAAATATCAGGGTTGGGTAAGTTACTTTTTTTTTTAACTAAGTTAAGTTAAAATTAACAACCTTGAAAATTTAACTTAGTTAAGATACAAGTTAATGTATAATGAAATTAATTGAATTAAAAGTTAAGTTAATAAAAAAATGTAATTGAAAAAAGTTAAAAGTTAAAAATTTATTTTTTTCACGATTTCAGGGTTTTAGTTTTAATAATAAGTGACAATAAAAAAAAAACTATTTAGATTTTAGAACATATCTCAAATTTTATTATATTAATTTTTTTTATAATATATATATTTTATAATAATATGTTTTGTTTATATATATATTTTATAATAATATGTTTTGTTTATATATATATATACAATGTATATAATTAATGTCAACACTCATTGCGTTTTTGCACAAAACCTCAAATTCTTATTATTAGAACCGAATAAATGCAGCAGCAAACTACAAGTGACTACAAGCTACTGCAAGCTGCAAGTCCTGCAAGTTAGAACCAGTGATGCAAACTCGTGTCCGCTTGCGGACAATAAAGAGTTTCTACTTGCAGGACGTCAACTGCGCCATCCATCAATACGGAACAGAGTGGCGTAACACATAACCAATGATGCGAATATCTACTTACAGCACGCGATTAGTGCCACCGAAGGCGCTGATCGCGTACTGCAAGCCGGCCGGAATTCGTATCTTTGGTTACATATGGCTCGTATTGTGTTTGACGCTTAACTTTAAAAAAATTAATAAAAATTATTAGTTGCCGATAAAATGTAACTTAATAAAGTTAAAAAGTTAGGAGTCCAAAATGTAACTAAAAGTTAAATTAAAATTAATTAACTTTTTAACTTTTAACTTTTTAATTTAGCATTACCCAACCCTGATAAATATGGAAATATAAATTTCATGAATTACATTATATTATATGTTACATATTACATATTATATTTTACACTGCAGAAATTTTTTACTCAATTTATAACAAAATATACAAATGTAAACAAACATCAATATTATTTTCTTCTATTATAGGAGAAGTTAAATGTCTTATGCAACAATTGTTGCGTGCGGTCGCACATCTACACGATAATTGGATATTACATCGCGACTTAAAGACGTCCAATTTGCTATTAAGTCACAGAGGCATTTTGAAAGTCGGCGACTTTGGTTTAGCTAGAGAATATGGCTCTCCCTTGAGGCAATACACGCCAATCGTTGTAACGCTTTGGTACAGAGCCCCTGAGTTATTACTCTGTGACAAGGAATACTTAGGAATATATAGTACGCCTATAGATATGTGGTCTGTAGGGTAAGTGTAATTTAATATTTAATTTTTTAAAATTAAGAATATATTAATATATTATCAGTATGTGTTATATATAATTTTAAAATATATATAAATATAGACTGATATTTATGATAATATTTCTCAGATGCATTTTTGCCGAGCTTCTAAGGATGGAACCATTGTTCCCAGGAAAATCGGACATAGATCAATTAAATAAAATATTTAAAGAGTTGGGCACACCAAGCGAAAGGATTTGGCCAGGATACGCTAAGTTACCTATAGTACAAAAAATTCCATTCGCGCATTATCCTGTAAATAATCTCAGGCAAAGATTTAGTTTGTCGTTGTCGGATTTAGGTATCGAGTTGCTGAACAAGTAAGTTATTTCATATGAAGAACGCATTCAATAATATCTGAATAAGTTTGATTAAAACCGTAATTTTTTTTTTCAGATTTCTAACTTACGATCCTCGTCAACGTGTAACTGCCGAAGATGCTCTGAATCATGGCTATTTTACTGAAGCGCCTTTGCCAATCGATCCGCAAATGTTCCCCACGTGGCCCGCCAAATCAGAACAAGGAGTTAGAACCACAAACGCGTCTCCGAAGCCACCGAGCGGTGGTAGAGAATATAAACAATTGGGCGACGGTGATGACGCCGATTTGAGTAACTCTGGTTTTCACATGGGCTTAACAGAAGGTGGTAGAGCACCAGCAGTTGGTGGTGGTTTTCACTTAAAATTCTAGTTAGACGAGACAATTTTGCACCGGATTTTAACGATTTCTAAATATATTTATATAAATATATAAAATATACATGTATATATTCCTTTAGATATAAAGAAACGTATTATATTTGTATGTATATGTATATCCGTATAATATATATTTTTTATTTTATACATAAATCATTCGACAAAATATAAAGAACAATCGCATTTTTATAAAAAATGGAGTTATTTGCAATTGTTCTTTAGATTTAGTTATATGATTTTATGTATAAAGTAATACATATATTTAGGTATCAGTTTTGTTCATATGAAATGGTTTACAATTTACCTCACAATTCTCTCTTTTTATAAATAACCTCTTATGAAATGAGATAGAGTATCAAATCTGAGGCCTGACAACTACAAGTTGTTCTCATACAGAGTCATTTTAGTATAGGAATAATACAAATATTTATTGTTGTAAAATAATAATCAAATAATTGTATATTTATGATTAATGTTTGTAATTTAGTCCACATTTTGCGATTTTACATAATCTTGTCCAAGAGATGTCCCGTAAACATTCCGATATTTATATGGTGTATAGATATCATGATATCCATGTGATGTTCCTTTGATTGGATGTTATATGAATTATAAAGAGAAAGTGAGAGAGAGAGAGAGGGGGGGGGGATAGAATAAAAGGAATCATATAACAGAAAGATTTAATGAAATAGGAAGAATATTATGTAACTTTCTACATTTATTAGTATTGATTTATTTTATACAAGATCCATGTTTTTGGATCATCATCGCTGATAAATCCTATTTAATTTTCTTAAATGTTTCTTTCTCATAATTATATATTCTCTGATGGATAATCTACGAGGTGTATATTTCTGTATCTTCGTATACATATGATATAACTTTGAATTATCTTATACAACCAAGTTATTTGCGTTTCCCAGCATTATGAATATTTTTCGGTAGACCCAATAGCGAGTTTATAAGTTCAGAATTACGTTTGGAATGACACAATCGCGGAGCCACTAGCATCAATCTGGCCAGCTGCAATTCACTATCCTGAAAAAGATAAACACATTTCTTATGTACATAAATTCGCCTAATGAATCTATTTAATAGTGTTATATTATACATAGTATTCCTTTTTTAAACCGTATATTGACCGTGACAATTAAGTAGCATTTCAGGTCTAATTCAATGTATAAATTAATTCTCGTATCTCATCTTGTCGAAATGTTGAATATAATTTCGAAATATAAGTGCGACACGTATATTAGCAAAATTTTAAGCGCCTCTTTTAATTGACATTTAAATGGACTGTCACTTACCAATCCTCTGCCGTAGGGAAGATTCAATCCGAAAATATTCCTGTCGACATCCTCGAGCTCATTGGACTCTTCTCCACAAACGATTCCGATTGTAATAGCGACAATGATAGCAAATCTCACGTAATTAGCCATTGATTTAGATGTTTCTAGAAGAAGATAACACGTAAAAAAAGACTTGAAAAATATTAAGTTAGATAATTATATGAATAAAAGGAAAAGGTAACTAAAGCCATTTGTGGAAACCCTTAGCTTCCATGATTTCTATTAAACAATATTTTTTCACTTGCTTTGATAGCGCTTTAGTAAACAAAAATATATAATACATATTTAAGTAAAGTACTGTACTAATTATAACTATAAAAAGCTGTTAGTGGAATATATTATATTATCGAGTATATTATATTATAATGTACTATAATTATATAGAGTATATTATATTATAAGCTGCTGATAAACAAAAGGAGTTTCAAATCGATTTCGCTTAAAACTGCATTACAAGTCTGCCGTTTAATTACATAATACGTAATAATCTGTCATTTCATCTACATAGTGTAATAAATACAGATTGTTGAAAAAAATTATTTCATAATATTTTATTAATAAAATGTTTCGTACAAAAATTTTATTGAAATAAAATAATTGAAATAAACATAATAATTACTTGGAGTAATCGCAAGTGCCGAACTGCAATAGACGTTGAAGTGGCAGCGAATGCTGTTCGATGGTAGGTACCACGCGATTACAACGTGAATCCGAAGATGCTGTTTCTTTTATACTGAGTATCCACATCATGCCGATATCTGTTCCTGACAGTCAGATCGTAGGACGTAAGCCGATAACAGCTCTGCGAACGACAGATGTTCTTCGACGAGATTATCGCGGAAATTGTGTTTCGTCTCTTTTACTAAGTTATGTAAAAGAAATCCTGTCGAAGCATGCAAATCCTGCATTTAATTACTCGCGACTTTTCGACTTAAGTATAACTTAAAAAAAAAATTTTTTTTTTAAGAAAAAATACTCCAAGTGCATAAAAGAGACATTGAATTCTTCTTAATTAAAAATCGGACATGAAATAAATGTAATTAATCAAGTATTTTATTAGCAAATCATAAGATGGACTGAAAGTGGTTAAAATTGTCAATTGGATTATAGTGAAGAAAAAACTTGATGTGCCCGGGTCGCATTAAAACAATATTCTAGAACCAAAATATGGTTCTATCGCAATATTCTACAGATATACATAATATATGAAAACAATAATTCAACTAAGAAGACATGTTAATAATCGCTTACTAAACTTGTAAATTTGTAATCTATATTGTTTCTCTAATATATCTAAACATTATTTCTCCATAATTTACATCATATCTATTAATTATTTGTGAGTATATTTTCATGTCCCACAAGATATACATTGATATATATATATTATACACATATGTATATATTAGATATGTACATATGTTTATTATTTTTATGTCTGTTATTTTTATATTTTAATATAATTATAATGCATATACTATGTTGGAATAATGTTTTCACTGAAGTACAATTAATGCGACCCGGACACATCAAGTTTTTTCTTCACTATAATTCAGTTGACAATTTTTACCACTTTCGATCTATCTTATGTGTTTTGCGTAATGAAATACTTGAGTAATTACATATATGTATCTCATATCCGATTTTTGATTAAGAAGAATTTAATGTCTTTTTTATGTACTTGGCGTATATAATTTTTTTTTAAAAGGATGTTTTTAAGGGATTTTACTGCTTTTTGTAAATTTACTTTTTAAACATTAGTTACAAGTTCTCAATGAGAAATGACAATGGAATTGACATCGAATTGATGTTAATTCGACGTACGTTGAATTGATGATGATTTCGACGTTGAATCAATTTGATGTCGATTTTATTATCATTTCTCATACTGGGTTGTACATATTAAAAAATATTAATATTATATCGTACTACCGTATTATCGTACTATTTCAATCTCCTTCCTTATGATTACTGGGAAGTTAAAGTAGTGGTAACAGTATAAATGCAAATAACCTCTTATATCTACAAAAAAATAATATACCTTGAAAGCTTTAAATTCCTTTGTTGCTTTATAGTCTGTCCTTCTCCTACTCTTCTTTTTAATAAAATGCAAAATTTCTCTTTAAAATTTTTCTCTTTCTTTCTCACTATCACTCTGTCTATGCTATTCGCTTCTTTTATTCTTATGTAACTCTACGATAACAACACTTTATACAATTAAACTTTAGTTACACAAGTTATACGTATTAAAAAATATTAATATGATATACTTACTCGTAATCTTAATGTTATAATAATATCTCCTTTTTTCTTTCTTTGCATTTATATGTAAATACATATTTTATGTAGGTATTCATTATGTATTAGTGCAACTTTAATCAAGGAGAACGAAACAATCGAAATAATGTCAATTTGACGTCATATTGACTGAATTTAGTCATTTTTTGATCATGATAAAAATCTCGATTTCAAATGACTTAAAAATGACTTTATATTGACTTTCTTTTTACTGTAATCCTTTTTATTTTATCATCTGTGAGATCGAGATTTTTATCATGATCAAAAAATAACTAATTCAGTCAATTAAGACGTCAAATTGACATTATTTTGATTGTTTCGTTCTCCTTGGAAAAATTGAATGATATCGATACATGTATATGTGATGCTATAATATCTTCTGTTATTTATTTCCGTTTTGTCATACAAGATATACAATGTATACAAATATACTTTATATAGTCGTCATCGTCGTGTCTCCGAGAAAGATTTTAAAAAATTTAGAGTTATGGAGACACGATCCTCAGGGAGGGATTGAAATCGAAATCGAAAATATAATCGAACCTCGAGGCGCCGCGCCGTCAGCGCGGGCGCCATCGCTGATGTAATACGCGATAATTCAAAAGATTGAAATGCGCGTTCATTGCACCACATTCCTATCGCGAATATATCTTTTCGCTTTTGAATAAAAATGTATTGAATTTTAGAGTGTCTTTTTAAAATATTGAAGAGATGTACTGCAGCATTAATGAAAGATTTGCGATATATAATTATATATTTCTTATTCTCGTTTAATTGTAAATCGATATTTTTGTCGCGGAAGCCACCGAAAAACTCTCCCCGTCGGGTCGCACTCGTCGATAGTTGATTCGCTTTTGTAGCACGGTAGAACTGTTCGTTGATCAAGGCCCATGATTGCGGCGCGCGCGTGCCCAAGAACTGTCATTATAAGGAAGAGCCACGAGCATTACGAGCACTTGTCTCGCGTTGCCACTCGTTGCGCTCGTCCCGCTCGTCACGAATACGAGTCTCAGGGTCAGTATCATATATTTAATCTCGGGAGAGACGCTTTCTGCACGAGGAAACCCGACCTCGCGAAAGCTGGTTGCCGCGCCGGCGACTCCCGCTCTCCGTACGTCCTTTCGATACTCGCCAAGATATCCGAGTAAATCACTGGCTGTCCGCATTACTCATTCGCCGAACGATACGTCGAGTGGATGAAGGATGATGACATTGTCATTCCTCGGGAAAGACGAGAGAAACAAAAGGAGATAAGTCGCATTAATTATCTCGGGACAAAAACTTGTCGCTGCGAAGTATACAATAGTATCTACATATATAGTATAATAGCTAGGAATTAATACGATATGAGATTTCTCGGAGCAACACTTAAAATTCCTGAACATTATAAGTGTTCTAATATCCGTATATAGACAATTACTTTCCCAATCTATCATGCAGAAATTAAATAGATTTTAAATAACGAACGAATTACTTTTAAGGACGATATTTTTACGAACGATACTTTACATATAAATCTTCCCAGTAAGCAATTTGGTAACAATTTGGCGCCAATTCGGCATTAAACTTACTCAAAGCTTGGTAGCAAATCCGATGCCATTTGTGCACTGTATCAGCAATAAGTTTGTGTTTTGTAAACAAAGCTTGCGTTACAAAACTATGCAATTGGCACCAAATTGGCAGCAAACTTTGCGTTGCGTTATTTGACAACAAATTTACGGCAAAATCCAAACAAAATTTAACACTTTGCAGCTATTTATATAAATGATTATTGACCCTTATAAAATTGTAGTGAAAACATTTTAAAGTGTATTTCATTAATTAGGTAAACATCTAAAAAAATATTTATGCTTTCATCTTGGAGCTCTTGAGGAGTTCTCATTAAAAAAGATTATTTTATTAGAATTTAACTGAAAAATCTTTCAATGCTACCATGGTGGAATCAGATATATCATACCTCCCACTGAGGTATTGCGTATTAATGTATACATACCTATAAGAGCTGATATTTCTTTTAATCATGTTATTTTTATCGCTGAATATTATTGGATAGTGATGTACATGTTTTGACAATATAAGAAATATTATGACAATATAAAAAATATTTTGCAGGCGTATAAGGTATGCTTCCACTACAATGCCTTACTGATGAGTCCAGTAGTGGAAATTGGGACGAAACGCCATAATTACGTGATATTCTTCGCAATATATTAAATTAATTTAAAAGATTTTCAACTTAATTTATTGGCTCATTGCCCTGTTTCTTTATATTAGTTATTTTATAAACATATTGAGCCTTACTACAATGTACATTTATAAAAAATATGTTGACATTATAAAAAAATTGTGCTACGCGTATATAACGTTCGTAGACATTAGTTTTCAATAGATTTTCTCGTCTTAAAGATATTATTCCATCACGAATGCAACGTTCTTTTATCCTAGTCTGTGCGGTTTTTTGAATTCAAGAAATTTCGCTAAAACTTAAATATACGCTATCCCATTATTTGACTTATTTCTTCATTACAAAAAAATAATAAGAATTAATAGTGTAGTAATAGTAATATTTCTATTAAGGCGGGTCTGTATATAACCTTTCTTTTCCTTAATCTATTAATAATTTTCTCTTTGAATCCGATATTATATCTCTTTGTGCTGCCACAACTTTGATATATAGAGCAAAATGGATCGATAATACAACCTGTCCGTTTTTTCTTTTTATTTTACAAGAAACTAAGGAGAGAGACAAAATAGAAAAGAGAGCAAAGTGAGTGACAACGTGGAAGAAGGACAGACTAGCAGCGTCGAAATCTCCGACTATTCCCTGGGATGGGTGCAGAGGTCACTAACCAGCGACCATAAAAGCAGCCTGAAACCGGTGGCATGGCCTTGATTTTACGCTAAGACCCTTCGAGGATCTACGACGAAGGCGTGTATCGATCAACGAGGATGGATTAGCCATTTTCGACACCTTCGTGACATTTTCTCCATGATATGATCAGGAGTCTGACTGAACAACGCGAAGGGAACCATTGTAGAAATTAACTTATGTTATTTATACGGTCTGTGTTAATTTAAGTTGAACGAAAAACGTCGCGATTAACAAGAGTTCTATGAAATCGGAACAACGACAATGTTTAAAGCGCTTGTTACTAAAAAAAAAAAACAGAAACATTTTTTTCAACCGCCTCTCCAATTACAATTTCAAAATCGCTTCTTCTCGTTGATCTCTCCTCTTCGAAACTTTGGGTCCGTTATTTTTGTATACGTTTTTAAAGAAATATATACTTTATGATCAATTTTTTGTATTTTATTTATTTGTCACTCTCTCGTTAAAATTACTACCATCGTTATTTGAGAAAATTAATTCCAAAATTTTGCTATACCCATTAAGGAAACGCACGTCGTGCTGCTAATTCAGTTTTTAAGTGAATTGTTTAGTTATCGCCAAATAGTTATCTGTTTCGTAATATTTGAGCACCTTGATTGAACACTCGTTTTCTCACGATGATTTACGCGACGTTTCGCACCCGCCACGGTCGCTCTTCGTCTTCGGAAACCCGTTTGATTCACATTTGCCTCCATCAGAAGCCGTTTCGTGACTTTAATGCGTGTCGTGCGAAGAAATGTTTTGCAGATATGTCGATACATGTATATAACATACGACATCCTGTTGCGATATTCTCAAATACCACGAAAGACAGAATCGTCTTCATCGTCTCACAATCTATCCTCAGCGCGTTAAAAGTGTTTCTGTGTAACAATTTGTCGCGGAAAAAGTCACAAAGTAGCCATGCTCGCGTTTCTGTCGCGAGATGCACTAATAGCTGCTGAACCGATTGTTATGATATAATCCGGATCGTCTCTCGAACTTGTAACGATATATAATAGTTCTTTTGGCACCATTCAATTTTCGATTTCGTCTTATTATTTTTCTTGAAATAAAAAGATGAAAACACTTGCACGCGCGGTTACCAGTTTCCCTAATATTTATAAAAGTTGCGGCGCACGCGGCATGATAATAGTACGTGTGTATGAGATGTATATGCAAAAAAACTATTTTGTTTTAACGTTAATAGATAATTACGCGAATATTCATTCAAAAAGAATAAACAGCTATGAATATTTTTTTATCTTTTTTTCTTTGAGAAATTAAGGGAGATTGCTTAGATCACCAATTTGCAAGCAATCTGCCATTGATTTATCGCAGCTTTTAATCACGATCAGATACATTACTCACAATGATACAGCGATCATTTTAATTATGGTCATTATAATTACGAATATTCGAGCAAAAAGAGAGAGGGAGAAATCGGCTCTGCATCGGTAATACATTATCTCGTTCGTCCATTAATAGTCAACGATTATGGAACTTGATTCATATCTTCCATTTTTTTTCTCGCGTAGGCTTATGACACATAAAATTTATATACATATTTCTATGGTATTAACTATAGTCTCTTTCTCTCCTTCTCCTCTCTCCCTCCCTCCCTCTCTCTCTCTCTCTCTCTCTTTCTCTCGCCACCTCTTTTTCCATCTTTCTGTTCCGCTATAAAAGTGGCATTGAACTCGCATATAATATTTAAGCATCTCACCTTCATAATTCGATCCTTCATAATCACGCTCGAGGCGAGTTCGCATGTTGAATCGAGACGAAAGAATCGAACATCGTGCATTAAAATTTATATAAGTATATCTATACAGATCGAGACGCACGGTAATACAATTAATTGGTCGGGGACCGCTATATATGTATACATATAATTGTATTTAAATATGCATCTAATTTCCTGGGATCTTTGTTCTTCTGCAAACGATTCTCATCAGTGATGACAATGGAATCAATGTCGAATGGATATCAATTCGATGTCGATTTTATTATCATTTCTTACTGGGTAGTTACCGGGCGTTCGTACAGATTTAGAAATTCTAATGCCAATAAAATCGCAAAGAAACAAGAAGTACAAAGCTCGCTTCTACTCTGGTAGAATTTTAATTTTTGAATTATATAATAATTCTTTGATAACAAAAACTCCCGTACAATTCAAAATTAACTTGGAAAGAAAAAGGGCACTAGGAGTTAAGCGCAGATAACTTTACGCAAACGCTGATTTTTATCAAGCAAAACTTATATTTATTACAAAAATTTTTCTTACATGTTTCGGCTCATTTTTGAGCCTTCTTCAGAGACAATGAAAAATTACAAAAATAAAATATAATTTAAAATTGACAACGAATTAATAGATGTTTAAACACCGCGAGTAATAAATAAGTTTTGCTTGATAAAAATCAGCGTTTGCGTAAAGTTATCTGTGCTTAACTCCTAGTGCCTTTTTTCTTTCCAAGTTAATTTTAATTTTTGAAATTAACTGTCGAAATTTAAGATGTTTTCGAAGCTACGAAAAATATTATGTACGTTAGCTGTAATATCGATATCATTGAACGGTAACCTATCGAATTCTCTCCTGTACTTAAGAAAATTACTAGCAGATTCCAACAAAACGTTACGCAAAATTGGATCCAATGAATTGTGATTTTAAAGGATTGCTTTTAATAAATATAATACATTAATTGCGCACTGGATCTTTTTATACCATTTTGCGCTCTCTCTCTCTCTCTCTCTCTCTCTCTTTCTGTTTACTTTATATTTTTCGTGAATTGCAATATATAGATGCACCGCGTTTAGAGCTGTATACCCAAAAGTACTTATACTACGACGCGCGCATAAGGATGAGGAAGATTTCGATTTCGAGAAGATAACGATCCCGCGGCTGTCCTAAAACAAGTTCCATCCCTTTCACTTGCGGTGCATTTTTAAGACGAGAGGAAAAAGAACAAACCGATAAATCGACCAAACCCGCAAGTTCAAGGCAAATCGTTGCCACTCTCTCAGATAAGATGCTGTATTTTTGGAAGAGACCTGCATACCATTATTGCAAACATCGAATTCTATCTTTACTGTCTTCTACACCTTATAGCTGTGATGTATGAAGTTTAGTAGAACAATTTCTTTCTCGGTAAAAATTCAGATCGTTCATTGTCAGTCTAAAAAAATTCTTTGAATTTCCTGAATTGTCGTTCAGAGATTAATAGATTGCTAGATAAATCGCTTCAAGTAAACGATATTTGTTAACTACACGTTTACGCCTTTATAGAAATTTAACACTAATACTAATTAATTGGCCAGTATTAGTATTAAATTTCTATAAGGGCGGAATAATAACATCTTTCCTCTGTGTGATATACGATAATCTGCTAATGATTCTCATTTCTGTAAGGATTTGGTATGAATGTCAAGAATTTTCCGTCAAACTTTCTTCGTTGTGAGCTTTTCTCATCTGATGTCAAATTATGAGCTATTCTGCAATCGCAGCAAATTCTTATAATGAACCTTAATGTACCTTAATGTACTTTCGTTATTTTTTTATAATTTTTATTATAGTATTAATAAATGTGTGTATAATTACGAAGCTATTGTAATCTGACGTTTATATTCTTTAAAAATAATTTGTTAAAGCATTACAAGAACTATTAATGATGACATCTCATTTAATGTATAAATGTATAAATTTGCATCATTAATGTGTAGCTTCAAATCATTAAAAGTTCGCGACACAGTTACTAATGGCAAAAATTTTTTCTACTTAATGTATACACGTGTTTGTTTTTTTGCGCTCTTTCTCTCTCCCTTTCTGTATTTATTCCGGCAATATAATAACCATTATACGACTCGTTAACGTTCGCGAACGAAGTTTAACTTCTCTGGAAGATCGTGAAGTTAAGGAATTGCATATAGAGTATCTTAAAAAGAACCGGTTGTTTTTCTAAACAAATTCCTTGACTAGTCTGAAATTGATTTTTATTTGACTCTGTAATCTTTGAGTTATAAGCGACGAAACAAAGAAAACTTTTATCTGTAAAAAGAAATGAGTTCTCATAAAAAGTAATTAAAGTTTGTTTATGCTTTAGGGGTAATTCGTAATAGTAGCTGCTACAAGAGGAAATCTTATTCGCCAATAGAGTCGCACTAATAGGACGATTTAAAAACTATTCAAAAACGGTGGTATATGTATACTTCCTCCTTCACGAGTTCTCGCGTTATAGGTATCTTATGCTGTTCATTGCAAATTATTCCGAAGAAAGAAGCGATCTAAATGAAGATTTCAAGCTGGGCATCTGGACCCAGGGCGTGTACGCGTGAACGAGAAGTCATGCTCCTCTCGTGGTCAAGGTCGTCGCAGAGCGGGGGCTTGGCAGGCAGGATGGCGGGCGGGTCCCCTTAGACGGAGAGGAGTAGGTATATATGGACGTTCTCGTGCGTCCGGAATACCAGATTGTTGGCCCTCCCCGCCGCTCTCGGTGGTGTCTTTTAAAATTCATCGCGCGCACCTCTCAAGGAGACCCCAGCGGGCCCCGCTGCTGTGCGCGGCGGTTGGATCGCGCGCCATTTAGACAAGTGCTTCATCAAAGTGACAGTTTATATACGCATCGGTGTTGCGGAAAAGGCATCGATTCGCAATCACGCGAAAAAATTGTCTACGCTCGAAGCAGGAAAACTGCTATCCGGGTGGTGTAAGAGGGTATTGTGAAGAAATATATTACGTTTATAATGATATCACAGAGTCTGATAATATCTCTCCATTAACTGTTATATACTGACACTGACACATACATCTTTAATGACATGCCGCAGATTTGTTTGTTATAGCTGCAACGAGATCTAAACTGTGTTGAATCTTATCTTTATTTTAAATCGAAATGAATTCTTTACGTTATATTCAAATTACACGAGATAAATTGTTTTTACCTCCAGAAAGGAAAAAAGAGATGATTATAAGGAATTCGATATAAATAACTGCAGTAAAGCTGCTAATCGTAGAATGCGTCATTACACGTTTCAACGAAACAACAGTATTATTTTCATTACTGAATACACGTAAGAAAAACAGCCTGGTTGCAGCTTGATAAATTTAACAATTTTTTTCCACATTCTAGTAACAATCTAAAATGTTCTTAGCAAAATTTTGTAAATCGTTAATTACGACTTCTATAATAGTGATGCTATTTTTTATTAATAGAAGTATAAAAAATTTATGTTATTTGCAACATTTTTTTTTCAAAAATTAAAGGAAGACTTATCGATGTATGTCAATTACTTGATTCTTCAACCATTATATTTATTATATATAAATCATTTTGCTATTAATCGGATCAGTTTAATGGTGCCTAAAAGTATATTAAACGAGCAGAAAGAAATTGTATCGGCAACTAATTACATGTAAACGTGCAATGAAATACATCGTTATTCATATTGTAAAATCTCATTTTATTTCGACAAGCTCTGAATTTTTAATAAACGATACGTCGAGTACTATCGAGTGAGTTTTTGTTTTCGAATAATTCATACGATCAGTAATGTCCAATATCGCTTCTTAGAGGTACAATAGAATACTTAAATGCTGTAAGCGCCAAAAATAAAAACTTTCGAAAAAGCTATTTCTGCAAATAATAATGCAACAAAAAAATATTGTCTTATTTTTTATAAACAAAATTAATAATGTATTTATTCAAAGAAAATATAAGTAAAAATTTAGATCTGTTCTATACCTTATATTGATGAGATCGATGGATCTTGTTATTGAATTTACTGCGTGTCGCGTAAATAATTATTGATGAGCCTAACTGGAAATTGTGCAATAAATAAGACACGAGCGTGGTTAGGAAAAGCGAATAAGATGACACAAGTGGACAAGAGTCTTCGCGTCTTCAAGGTCAACTTTTTCGTGCCACGATATATATTATAATACTTTGTGTTTGCTTGGAGCGAACAAGATAAATCAGGATATGTATCTTGAAGGTTCGAGTAAACAAATCGATATACGTACTCGAGCGTAAAATGCATTCCGACGTGTATGTACCGAAGCCTCCTGTATCCTAGCCGAGTAACGAGTCGCTACTCAAACCGGCTGCTCCTGCTCTAGAGCCGCGTAAAAATAGCGCATTTCGATCGTCTCATATAGAAGGATCTCTCTCTCAAGAACGAGCAGGTTCTTGAAGAGATGCGTGTAAAAACTGTTAATAGAATTTTTCATTTTAGCAAACTATGGCGGCTTGGATTATCTTGGCTTGGCTGGCGAGTTTATCGTCTGCTGTTCCTTCAAATCGACAAGTACCAGTTCGAGAGATCCTACCTCCTCCGTCGCCGTCCAAGTATCAGCAACAGCGCGAGTTTCTTCCCTTGTTTCGGAGGGACGCTGTTGAAAGCTCGCCGACCTTTGGCCGCTTGTCGAATGATTTAAATTACGATGAGTTCGGCTCGCACAGGTACCCCCTGCGCGACGCAGTCGAATCGTTGCCGGACAACGTATTGGACGCTAAATCGGATCCTACATTTCGAGTCGACTTTGACAGGTGACTATTCGAAGAATGTTTAAAACCTCTCTCCGATACTCATTTCACAATAATAATCGCGATTACATAGCAAATCTTAACTCTTACGTAAGCTGGGAATCTGTGCACAGGATTGTAATATTTCTTTCCTTTTTTTTTATAATATTTCTTCCAATATCTCTTCGATTGAAGATGACATTACTTTCTTCTTTCAAATAATCTTAAATAAATTTTACATTTAAATATTTATTTATTTATATTTTTGTTTAAATCAGTTTCTTAATCTAATTTTAGCTTTTATAGATTTTTATTTAAAAACATGATACTCTGGCTGCACACACATCTAAAGATTAAAATACTTAAAATTATTGAAGATTAAAACTCTGTAATTCTATTTACGATTTTGCTTAATTTTTATTTAATGCAAATATTGCCTAATTATTTTTTTTATTAATATTTAAGGGAGACCGGGGACAAAAGTAACAGATAAGATGAAAATATTCAAGGACTCTTAGTATAAAAATAATCAATATAAATCAGAAAAGGCAATGTAAGAGTCAAAAGATAAAAAATTCATTTAAAAATAATACTATAATATCAATATATTTAACATTTGAAAAGTAATAAAATATAAATATAAAACTAAAAAAATATATAAATATAAAAATTACTTAAAATTAAATACATAATAAGTTTCGGCTCTAGGTTTGAGCCCTCCTCAGACGTTAAAAATAGTGGACAAAATCAATCGTAGAAAATCGGTCGTACAATCTTTATTCTACTCCCGTGAGTCTCCAACAGAAAAACGACATTATAGCTATACGTATGATTGAAAAGTCAATGTATAACAATATCTCTGAAAAGATGGTAAAAAACTTTCCTTATAGGTGTTAAACAAATTATGTCAAAATTTCTATAAGAAAACTCATCAGGAAAATCAAACAGTAATAATGTTAATTACAGTGTGTCGGCATTGCCGCAAATAAATAAAAGTAACAGAGTACAATAGTAACATCGTTAATATTTCTTAAACTATGACAAATATACATACGTAGGTGGTAAAATTCTATAAACAGATAGACATTGAATCATTCCTTACATATTGCGGAATTTTCGCGAAATGTGCACGCGCGCGAGTACAGAAGCAGAAATTACTTTTTTCATGCATCAAGTAACTTTTATTGCGTGCACAAAATTCAAAAATTTTTTTCTTTATAACAGGTATAATGTATTATCTTAATACATGTATGTTTTAATAATTATCCGTATTGATGTTTTCACATTTGAGTTGATTTTTATCTAGGTTTTTATTAAAAAAATTTATTATATGAATTATAAAATACTGTTAGGGGACAATAGTAACGTCGATGCCTGGGGTCAGTTGGAACTGTAATAATTGTCCCCGAACTTCTCACGTAGCACACCGCGCGTGTAAAGCGTTTTCGAAGCGCTGTTCAGATTGCACCTCTCAAAACTACTGTTAATTATGCGCTTTTATTGCATGCGGATAACTCGCCTAATTTCAAGTCATATGCAGACACTGTTATACGAAAAGTGCAGTAAATGTGTTATAAAACTGTATTTTTTCTGCGCTGATTATATAAGCTTATAATGCGCTTTTCATAGTGGATTTTGAAAGCGCTTTTAAAGCGTTAAAAAGCTGCTAAAGTAATGCACCTGCATACGCGCTTTTTTAGCGCTTTTTAAGTACTACTGTATTACGTGGGTTATTGATTTCATTTTAGTATTATTTTGTACAATACAATATTATTTTTATACGTTCCTTTATATTTTAATTTTATATATAATATAAAATAAGGCCCAATAAGTATAAAACAATATGAGTAATAATAAGGGCAATGAGCCAAATACTGAACGCAAGAAAAATTTTTCAAATTAAGTATAATATAAAATTTAAACATTAATACAGATGTTTCGACTCCGATCGGGTCATCTTCAGTGTAACAAACATAAATAAATTATAAAATTTCGGTAATCAATAGATAATGTCAGGAAATTATTCGCATCTTGAAATTGTAGTCCATCATGTAAAAGTTAATCCAATACAGTAAATTCAATCTTATTAAAAATTGTGTAATAACTAATGTCAATAATGTAAAATTCCATGATGTGAAAAATGCAATGTTGTCAATGATAAAATGTTATAACAGTTCAGATTTAATCCAATTTACAGCTTTATCGACTTCTTATATATGTTAATGTCAAGAAACGCAATTTATTTATAATAACAATGATAATAAATTTATGATAACAATGTTCACATAATTACATATATAAAGGGTCTTATTAATAAAGCCAATAAAATAATCATTATTTTATTTATAAATATGATACAATTGTTCCTGTCTACTGTTACAATCGTCCTAGGGGACAGTTGTAACAAAATTTCTCATAGTCTTAAAGCAAACATAACTTTTTTCTAGTTACATTGAAAAATTAAATCAAAGAAAATTTTGTAGCTAAATAAATTCTATATCTAAAGGTATATAAATTTTTTAAAATATTTTTAAATATTATATTTAAAAAATTTAAATAATTAATATAAAAACTAGTTATAGACTCTTTTTGTTAAAAACAAATAAACAATCGTGAATTATAAGGCTATAAAGAGTCAAACGCAGTTGATCATGCGAAAAATTAATTTAATCTTACAATTAAAAATACAGTCGAACGTTTCGGTCTGTGATTTAGACCATCTTCAGCGACCAATTGATAATAAATACAAAGCTCCATATACTCCAAGTTATAATGCCAATTGAAAAACAATTATTGTTAATTAACAAAATGTTTCCGTGCACCAACCAGAGGTAAAAGCATCGTGTGAAGATGTGTAGCAAAATTTTTTAAAAAACAGTAATATGTCTGTGAAAAGACAGTTAATAACATATATTATTCTATTAAAAATTATCCAGAGAAAATTAAAAAAAAAAATTTTTTAATATTTAAACACTCACCCCTGTTGGTAGACAAAAACATAATTACACAATTTAAATTCATAATTCCATAAATTTAGACTGACTAAACATATATGTGACCGTATTCATCAGAAGGAAACGATACAATGAGGAACGTTAAATTACTGACAACAAAATAAATTAAAAATAAATGATTAGGTCAAATCATACTGTTGTCAATTTTTCTAAAATATCTATGTACGACCGATCAAGACCTTCTGTGTCAGTTTTTAAATTTAAACCATTGTTTTGAGATTTTATATGTAACATTTCAGAAATTAATCGCTTGTGATAAAAACTTTCATCATCCAAAACTTCCACATTATTCCAATCAAAATCATGACCATGCTGCAACCTATGTTCAGTGATTACAGATCTAGAGGATGTATTTCTCCGTATATGACTACGATGTTCGTTAACTCTTGTTTTCAGCATTCTCTTTGTCTGTCCCACATAAGTAGCATCACAGTCACCACACTGAATCTTATATACAATGTTCTTTTTCATAAAGTGTGGAAGACGGTCCTTCTGTACTTTGATAAAGTTATTTAATTTATTGATGCTAAAAAATGCAATTCTATCATTAATACCATTGATAATGTTTCTAAAACCATCAGAAATTCCTTTAACATAAGGTATAGTAAACCAAAAAGTATTATCCTTTACAATATTATTGTTGTTAACAACTTCAGATTGTGAAGGTTTATTCATAATTGCATAAATTCTTTTATTAACTTTCTCAAAAATAAAGTCCAATGGATAGTCGTTGAGCATCAATATATCAATAATAAACTTCAAATTTTTCTTATGGAATTCTGGATGCGACAGTAAAAACGCCTTGTCAACTAGTCCATAAATTACACTTATCTTTTGAGAAAGAGGATGTTGAGACCAAAAATTTAAAATTCTACCTGAATATGTAGGTTTCTGAAACCAGTCAAATTGTATAAAGTTATTTTTTATTATCATGGTGGTATCCAGGAAATTAATTCTATCACCACCTATTTCGATGGTAAATTGTAACCTATGATGATAATTGTTAAAATTTTGAAGAATAGTATTTATTTGTTCCCTGGGTACCGCCATGACAATATCGTCAACGTATCTATAGTAAAAAGGAATGTGAAAATCGAATGTGCTCAACACCTCCTTCTCAAGGTCCTGCATGATTAAATCGGCTAAAACAGGAGATAACGGAGAACCCATAGGTGTACCATAATTTTGCTTATAAATCTGACCGTCAAAAATAAAAAAAGTTGATTCGAGAATCATTTTAATTGCATCTATAAATTCCGTTTTTGGAATAGGACAATTAGTGGTTAAATAATTCCATCTATTAGTAATCGAATTTAAAGCAGCATCAATAGGAATATTAGTAAATAAAGAAATCACATCCAAAGAAATCAGGATGTAACCATCCTCAATTCTCATGCTAGACAACTTCTTTACCAATTCAAAACTGTTATTTATATGACTGAAAGATTTAGGAATTCTATTGATAATTATTTTATGTAAAAAAGTAGCAAATGAGTGAAAAGGACTCCCAATAGATGAAATAATGATTCTAAAAGGACATCCAGGTTTATGGACCTTGGGTAAACCGTAACCTCTAGGAAGTGTTCCTTCATTGCATCTAATGCGCTTATAACAATCCTCCGATATGTATTTATTATTCTTCCACTTTGTGATTAAATTCTTGAGATTATTCAACATTTTATTAGTGGGATCTTTAGGAGATTTTATATAAGTATCAACATCACTGAGCATTCCATTAACCTTTTCAATATAAAATTCTTTATTAAGAGCCACAGTTACGTTGCCTTTATCTGCTTTGGTTAAAATTAAGTTACTATTTTTCCTCAAAAAATATATGGTTTTCTTCCTAAGCCAATTAAGTCTATCAAACAGTTGTTTATTAATTTTTGCATGTGAAAAAGTGAATAATTTACTAATATATTTAGCTCCTTTGTTCCTTAAAATTTTGTGAAATCTCGGTTGTAATTTACTAATATGTGAATGTAAGGAATTATCGACCGGTTGTGATTATGAGTGCAATTCCAAAAATTTTGGATTTAATATTAAGTGAATATATAACCTCTAAGGTTTCTAGTCAGCTAATTGCCAATCAGCATGGCTTTGTACATAGAAGATCAACGGTTACTAATTTGCTTTCTTTTGAACAATTTGTTATCAATGCCATTGACCAAAAATTACAAGTCGACGCTATATATACGGACTTTTCAAAGGCTTTTGATACGGTTAATCATGAAATGTTATTATTTAAGCTTAGGAAATTTGGTTTCTCAGAGAGTTTTTCTACATGGTTTCATAGTTATCTTGTAAATAGGAGAATTATTGTTAGATTTAAAAATTATTTTTCTAGAGAGATTTTAGTATTGTCCGGGGTTCCCCAAGGATTCCATCTTGGGCCTATTTTATTCAATATATTTATCAATGATATTTCCTTGGCTATAAACTTTTCTCAGTTCCTGTTTGCTGATTACTTAAAAATTTACTCTACTGTTGGTACAAAAACGGATTCTCAGCTTATACAGGATGATCTGAATGGTATAGACCATTGGTGTACAGCTAACGGTATGAGAATTAATATACAGAAATGCTATGTTGTTTCTTATTCAACTTCTTCAACACCGCTTATTCGAGATTACTACATAAGAACGAATGCTCTCGCAAGAGTATCTTCAGTTAAAGATTTGGGAGTGACATTCGATGTTAGACTAGATTTCATTGAGCATATCAATAATATAATTAAAAAAGCAGAAAGAATGTTAGGTTTTGTTGTTAGGAATACAAAAGATTTTACAAATATTTCTACGATCCGCTCACTTTACCTTACCATAGTTAGACCGCATTTGACCTATGCATCAACTATTTGGACTCCACATTGAGGTTCACATACGTAGACTGGAGAGAGTGCAACACAAATTTTTCAGATATGCTAAATTTAAGTTAGGCAATCCAATGGAATATAACAATCATAATTATCAATCAATTTCATATAATCTAAAAATACCTTCTCTTTTTTCCTTTCGACAGTACCTAGATGCACAATTTTTATATAAGATTGAGAAGGACATCATTAACCTACCCAATTGCGATTTTATTATTCCACCTTATAATCCGAATTATAATTATAATCTTAGAACTATGTTATATTCTCGTATACCATTCTACTCAACTAATCTTGGGTTGCACTCTCCTTCAGTACGACTGTCTAAAATGCTTAATCATTTTTCCCATAACTCGAACCTACTTATTTTGGCTCAGACAGATGCATTTATTAGACTTAAACGATATTTATTTCAATATAATTAATGTATTATTAGTACTTAATGAACTTTATCCTTTTATTTTTATAATGTACCTTGCGTTCAACTGTGAATTAAACTTATTGTATCTACATGTAAAAGGTTTCAGGCCTGTTTATAAGTAAATAAAATAAAAATAAAATAAAATATTGTTTTCCCAATTTTTTATGAATTCAAATACAGTTTTTCTTTTGTTAAAAAAAGGAAGAGAAAAATTTTCACCCAATTGTAAAAGACACTGAATTTGCTCAGGGATGACAGTAGATGACAAATTATAAAACCATTTATTTCTTATTATATTTTAACTGAATTTAAAACTTCAAAATGTTACTTTTGTCCCCGATTTCCCCTATTTTGATTCGATGTAATTAGACTCAATAACATATAATATCAAATCTTATTGGACCGTGAGAGAATTTAAATTAAATATCGATGATGAGAACACGCTGTAACGGTCAAGCTGGATCTTGAATGCTTCTAATATAATTTCGTATGAATTTATATACTCTACGTATGTAGATTCTTAAATGTGTACCGACATTTTTTTCAGACTTAAAACGCAAACTCTAATAAACTACCGCAGTACTATCACGAATTAAATTGACTAACAATTTAACGATTATTGATGCTGTTTACGCATCTTATATCGATCTTAATAATGTTAAATAACCTATTAAAACTGTAAATTAATTTTTTATTACGAATTTTTATTTGCGAAAAATATTACCTCGGCCGGATATGCTATAATATTATGCTTAATACTTATATAATGGTACAAATATAAAATTACTCATATTTTTATAGTGAGAACCAAAGATTGCCTTTGAGAGACGCAGTAGAGCATCGCGAAGCACCTTTTCTCGGCGTTGATCCGGATCATGAAACGATTTGGATCGAGCCCGTGGCACCACCGACCTTGCGAAGGACGCAACAGATTCTCGAACCTAAAATTGTCTGCCGCTTCAACTCTGAAGCCGTTCATAGGGCCGAACCGTTCTCCTTATACCCGCAAAATGTGCCAGATTACAAATGCACTCACCTAGTATACTCCACGGCTACCATCGGTAAATAATAATTGTAAATATGTAAAAGCATACATTGTTTTGAGAATATTTTCTTATCTTAATTATTAATTTTATTATTTTGTTATAGACAGGCAAGATTCCGTCGTTCCCAATGATCCAATGTACGACCGAATTAAAGGTAATTATCATGAAAGTTATAGAAGAAAAAAATATTAAAAAATGTTTAACAAATATTTTGGAAATATTAGATTATGCAACAATCAATACTAACAACTATTCTTCTACTAGGCGGTTACAGTGCTGCCACAGGGCTTCGCTTGAAAGATCCAGCACTTCGTGTGCTGATATCCATTCAACCAAATCCACATCGCAGTCTAGTTATTCAAAGAAATGCCAATTTATCGACTGACTTTCCATTGCGGGAATCTATTCTCAAATTCCTCGAAGAATATCGCTTCGACGGTATCGAGCTCGATTGGCCAACCGCCGCTCAAGACTGGTCTCAATTTAAAATTCTACTAAAGTTGATCGGCACTCCATTAGCCAAAAGAGGATATACCCTGGCAGTGGCACTGACACCGGAAGACCCCGTGGATCTGGAACTCCTACCAATCGTCGATTTGATAATTCTGAAAAGCTGGCGGAGCCAACCAGCTTGTACTTCCTGCGAGAGAACCGAGTATCCCGTTCTTCATCCAGGTCCCTTGAGTTTCATCGTGCAAAATGCAAGCAAATGGGTCGAGCAGGTCAGCACTGAGCAAAGATCGAAGTTCGTCCTCGCTATTCCCATCTTTGGCCAAAGATACACTCTTAAATTTGGTAATCTCACCGATGTCGGCGTGCTCGCTCAGAAATCCGGCAAAGAGGGTGCTTACACTAAACTAGGAGACGGAAAATTAGCTTATTATGAGGTGAAGCATCACGTCAATATACTGAACAAAGCCTGGTTGCATTAAATGGAATTCTGGTTAAAAATGGATGAATCAAAAATTTCTCATTAAATCTACAGTACTCAAAAAAATTAAAGGATTTCTTGTTGCACCTTGCAAAAAAATAGGCAAATTTCGAGATAGAATAACTTCGTCAAAAATCATCGAGATATTTAAAAAAGCATTTTAAAGCTTGAAATTTCTAGATTCTTTCTTTTCAGACCGGTATTTCAGAAACGGTCTTACTGATATTTCGTGAAATTACACAAACATAAATAAAATTCTGACTAATATATTATCAGAATCTTTTGATTCGTTTATTTTCAATCAGAAATTTTTCTCGCAATCAATGTAAAACCTGAAGTGTTTATATTACTAAATTACAACAAGGATTGATTGTTCTCTGTAGGTATGTGAAAAATTAGAAAAGGGTTTGTGGATCTCTGGCAGGAACGAGGAAGGACCATATGTGAAGCGAGGCGATCAATGGATCGGTTACGACGACCCTATATCGATGAAAATCAAAACGGCGTTTGTTCGAGCAATGGGACTCGGTGGAATCTCATTATGGTCGCTGGATCTAGATGATTTTCAGGTTATTAATAATATTAATTTATTTTTTGTTTTTAGTAAGTCTAATTATAATTTTTATAAGTTTTAGCTCCATAGAAGAATAAATACCTACATCAAGATTAACAGATTTATAAAAGAACGATTTTAATTTAAGCATTGTCATTACAGCGCCGTTTATGCATGTTAATTATTAGGTGCTTGAATTAATTGTCGTTGTTTTTTGCTAAAAAAAACTCGTGCTTATTTTATCAAAAAGGTACTCGATATTTTATTCACAATATTGTTGATCAAAAGCTAAAAATTTTCCCACTTTTCGGGTAACAAATGGATTCCGTGGTAGAAAAATTCAGGTTCTTCCGAGGCGATTCAATCATCGAGCCATTTTTTGATATCTTCGAAATAGCTGCTCAGAAAGATTATGCTGTATCGACCGAAACAAATGGTAATCTGATGGAGACAACGTCTGGTGAATAGAACGGGTGAGGTAAAAGATCCCATCCAAGATTTTCTTCACTGGTTGTGCAACATGTGGTCTGGCATTGTCATGGAGAAGAATAACTTTATCATACCTTTTGGCGTATTGCGAGCGTTTTTCTTTGAGTGCTCGATTCAAATTGAGTAATTGACGTCGGTAGCATTCACTATTGATGGTTTGATTCGGTTGCAGCAGCTCATAGTATACGACACCGATTTGACATCTTCTTTGCATGAATATCCTGTTTTGGCGTTGATGTTAATTGTTTGCCGGAACGCACCCATACTTTTTTGTGTTTAGAATTGTAACGAATCCATTTTTCATCGTCAGTCACAATTCGATGCAAAAACGACTTCCGTTTTTATCTTTGGAGCAGCAATTCACAAGTGGCTAAACGTTTCGCAATGTCTCTTTCTCTCAATTTATGTAGGACCCAATTTCCTAACTTCTGGATCATTCCTATTGCTTTTAAACATTTACTAACGGTTGACACATCGACATTTAATATTTCCGATAACTTTTTAAGCGTCTGACATGAATTTTCTTGAAATGCCTCCAATTCTCCTTCTTCAAATTTTTTCGGCTGACCAGGGCGCTTTTTGTCATTCACATCAAAATTTGTTGTTTTTAAATCTTTTAAACCAATCTCTGCAAGTTGTTTCAGATAGAGGATGCTCCCTATAAGCCTTCACTAGCAAACGATAACTTTCAGCAGCATTTCTTGAGGTTAAAATAGAAAAATAACGCTTTGTTCTTTTTTTGGTACGAAACATTTTTAATGCGATAAAAAAATGTGTTCTTTGCATCCGATCAAATGTTATATACTGATTATTAAAGCCTATTGATAGTACTTTCATATAAATAAGCAGTCACTCTCGGTTATGTTGAAACAGCACCAAATACTGACCTTTCCCGATCAACAGCGAGAATTAATTCAAGCACCTATAAATATCATATTTAAAATGCGTATGAATTTAAATCCCGTAGGGTATCTGCGGAAATCCTTGGCCGATGCTAAACGCTGCAATACGATCTTTAGGATACTATGAGAATACCCCAACAAAGAAGTGCTCGAAGGATGGTTTTTCCAGAGATCCGGAAAATTGTTCTGCATTTTATTCTTGCGTCAAAGGTAACGTACACAGATAGTAGAGAAGGTTTAGATAAATTAATTATAAATTGTAAAAGTCTCTCATATTTATACATTCAGTAACCACACAGTAGTTTACTTTTTTTTTTAAAAGGAAAACTGCATCATGGTCATTGCGGGCACAGCCGGTACTTTGATCCGATAGAAGAACGCTGTGTGGCAGCCATTCCAGCGCGATCTTCAGAGATCTGCAAACCCAACGTTTTTGATAAAATTGTTGGTCAGGGCACACCATCGACAACACCGTCAAAAAAGGTATTGCAGCAAGTCGGACCACGAATAGCGTGTTATATGACATCCTGGGCATTATATCGTAAAGGAGACGGTAAATTTGTGCCAGAACATCTGGATTCGAGTCTCTGCACCGATATTGTTTATGCATTTGCCGGATTGAATCCTGAGACGCTATTGATTCAACCGTTCGATCCTTGGGCCGACATTGAAAATAGTAAGTATAATAATTCAAATGTGATCTCAATTATGCCGAAATATTTGAAAGATTCAGAACACATCTGCAGAATTAAATTTGCAATTTAAAAGAATCTATTTCTTTAAATATAATGTCATATTTAAAACGAATCTTGCGAATCGTATGTGGAATCAGTTTTTACTATTGTTTCAAATCTTTCATTTAAAGGATATAACTAAATGATACAATTCTTTAAATAATTCATTCCAGATCTATATCAGCGAGTGACGTCGATTAAAGGATCAAGAATATTACTGGCTTTAGGCGGATGGACCGACAGTTCTGGTGATAAGTACTCTCGATTGATCAGCAGTGGCATCTCTCGTCGTAAATTTGTCATTGCCACGACGAACTTCCTGAAGAAGCACAATTTCGACGGTCTATCGTTCGAGTGGAGCTATCCCAAGTGCTGGCAGAGCGATTGCAAAAAAGGCCCTGATTCCGACAAGCCAAATTTTACTAAGTTAATGCAAGAGCTGAGAGAGGAGTTTAACAAGCAAGATCCACCTCTATTGTTAGCTGTTGCCCTGTCGGGATACAAAGAGGTCATTGACAAAGCGTACGAGGTGCGCGAAATCTCGCAAGTCGTCGATTTTATGTCGGTGATGACGTACGATTACCATGGATCGTGGGAATCTAAGTTGGCACACATAGCGCCCTTGTTTGAGTCACCAAGTGACAGCAAACCCTATTACAACGTTGTAAGTTCGAATTGCGTGAAAAAACGTGTTGCAAATAACTTATATAATAATATTTATATAACGTTCGAAAATATTACAGAATTTTACTATGAACTATCTCGTTGGTCTCGGTGCTGAGAAATCTAAGCTCCTAGTCGGTATCCCTCTATATGGGCAATCTTATCGGCTCTCGACGGCGAGTCAAACCGATCTGGGTGATCCGACGACCGGTCCGGGTAAACCAGGAGACTTTACTAAGCAACCGGGAATGTTGGCATACTATGAGATTTGCGAGAAGATCAAACGGCACAATTGGAAAGTAGGAGTTGGTAAGACGATGCATCTCAAATATTGTGTTAAACAAAATAGATATATTTGTATATGCTTGACATTAAATCTGTATTTCAGGACCGAGTGCTCACTTTGAGGATGAGTGGGTAGGATACGAAGATCGCGAGAGTGTTTACGCTAAGGGCAAATATATCGTGGGAAATGGCTATGGCGGAGCTACAATGTGGACCATTGACTTAGATGATTTTCAGAATCTCTGCTGCTCTGAGTCGTTCCCTTTATTGAAAACAATAAATCGTGCGCTAGGTGAGTGTTATATTATTTTTGTTAGTATCAAGTTAGTACTTTTTACATTTTATTATAAGTTATTATTATACATATTTTATATTATTTTTCATCACGCGTGCACGTAATGTGCCCAATAACTCAACGCTTTTGCGTGCGGTAAATAGCCAATAACTCAACGGCTTGAGTTATTACTCTAACCCCGCTCTTCTGTGCAAAAACGTTTCGGTATAGACACATTACGACGAGCACTTGTAATGAAAAATTCTATGTGTAGCGAGTGGGGGCATATTTGTTTATAGGACGGTACGGGCGCTCATACGCACTCGCATCGCTCGTGCGCTCGCGCCCGTTCCGCGCTATAAACAACTATCCCCCACTGTTACACAATATACTGATATGCTATAATAAGTTCATTATTACACTTATTGCTACTCTTCTAATATTTTATATTTGATATTTTATTTTCTCAATATTTTGCACTTTAATATAGAATTACTCTGATTAACAGGTCGCTCGTCGGTGCCCATCTCAGAGGGTTGTCAACGTCCAACGCAGCCGGTGACACCGCAAGCACCGACCCTAACTACTCACAGTGACGCCTTGAACGGTAAACCGCGCCCCACCACGTCAATGACAATGTCTAGCACTGAAACTACTACGTGGCCAACGTGGACAGAAAAGCCGAGCACCACGACAACTAGAACTACTTGGCCCACGTGGACTTGGACCAGCGAAAAACCCAGTGAAATTCCGGAGGATGTCACAAAACCTAATGAGACTCAAAAACCAAGTACAGCTCCTAGCGGTATCATACCTACATCGACTACATCGTGGTAAAAGAGAAAATAAATCACAATTATTCGTCTGTATATATTTCAATCTTTTCTTTTTTAAGTCAAGACAGTCCAAAATGATCCAAAATATTGAATATCTTTCTTCAAACTTTTTTCTTAATAGTGCACCGACTACGCAGTCGACACTTTCTACAACAGAGAAACCGATTACTGACACATTGGAAGCAAATTGTACTAGCGGCGAGTATTACAGCGATCCTACGAATTGTGGGAATTATTACAGATGTGTTCGTGGCGAGTTAAAGCGCGAACAGTGTGCGTCAGGATTACATTGGAACGCGAATCGGCAACTGTGCGATTGGCCATCGGTGGTAAAATGTCAAGCAGAAACTGGTAAGATTAATCTATTCTTATCAACCGGATACGCTAATTCTTGATCAGTTCCTCTTTTTGTCTCTCTATCCTTTCCTCCTTCTATTTACTAGAGAAACGATCCATAATTATACGGTTCGAAACGACCAGACGAGGCAACGATGAGTGTAATAATTGGCGCGCAGATTGACTATTTGATACGAGATCGTCGCGAAATATAAATTGCATCTTTGTAAAGCGTTGATGGCATTAACCTATTAATGAGAAAATTATTGCGGTGACATTGACTCTTTAATAATCTATAAAAATTACATGGATAAACGAACACGTGGGCAAACATGAACACAAACCTGTTTGCGAGTTGGGCGTATGCAAATATCGTCGCATATACATATATTTTCCGTTTAACTGTCGCCTCTGGCTAAGAAGCGTTCTTGCATCCTCTCCCTTTGCTGTCTGCCGTGTAAAGCGAAGAAGTTTGCTGGCATTGGCAAGGGTACAAGCCACACCGACTTGTATGCGCGTCGTTCACTCACTGTGCGTCTGTGAATATCATGGCCTTCATTCGTTTCTATACGATATTAACTCTTCTTCTTCTAAACTGTGTCGTACAGGCAGTGTACGAAATCTCTCGTCGAGGTGCCAATTTAATCGAGCTTAAATCGTTTTTTTATCGTACAACGTGCACTTCATAAATATGTAATATATTTTTTTTTAGATTCGAGCTCGAATATAAACAATCCTTCATGGAGCTCAACCAAGAGACCGTCCACTACAACCACCGAAGCTACTAGGCCAACTTCGACGACAACGACAATAGCGACCACGAAGTCCACCACATCGAAACCTATCGTTATAGAACCGACGCAGAAACCGCAAAATCCATGCGAACATGGACAATACTATCCCTATCCAAATTCGTGCACAAGCTTTCTAGTCTGTGTGAATGGTGTCCTTGTTTCGCAACAGTGCGGTCCAGGTTTAAATTGGAACACCGAAAAGAACATGTGCGATTGGGCCTTCAAGAGTCCATGCATCAATAAACCTCATAAGAATGCCATGCTCATGGAAAAAGACACCGTTCCAACCGTAAGTACATACCTATATAAATGTAAATAATAAATTATAGGGAAGAATGTCCTAAATCGGATCGTGTTCCAAATCGGACCTTTTTAATTTAAATAAATACAGTTAAGTAGATTTGCGTTATTTATAATGTAAAGTTTCCTTAACGTGTAATTAATTACATTTACAATTTGGGGGAGAGAAAAAAGGGGGAGATTACATATATTACTTTGGATAAGTATTGCCAAGAATATTACTACCTCGACCCGCCATCAGAGATCTATCGATATTCGCAAAATCTCGCAAGTTCTTTGATACGCGTATATATCTCTTTATATAGAATCTCGATTGAATAACTCTTGCAGGCGTATAAGGTAGGCTTCCACTACAATACCTTATTGATGAGTCCAGTAGTGGAAGCTGGGACGAAACGCCATAATTACGTGATATTCTTCGCAATATATTAAATTATTTAATAGGATTTTTAACGTAATTTATTGGCTCATTGCCCTCTTTCTCTATATTTGTTATAAACATATTGAGTCTTGTTATAATATACATTATAAATATATAATATAAAAAAATATAAAAAACTAATTAAAAATGTCATAAGTCATACGTTTCGGGACTCACAGACCCTTTTTCGGCGATTATTTCAGATGTATTTGCGTCATTGGATTGATAATATTCTTATGGCGTTACAGACATGTTGATATATATATTAATCATAGCTCGGATTGATATTTCTGTTCTCAATGCTGTCTGCAATTCTTGTTCAACTCGATCGGACGAACTTGTAACGATCCTGTCTCATATGTGTCTTTACAATACACTCGCATTGAGAACAGGAATATCACTTGATATAATTGCTGAAGAAGGACTTGTGAGTCCCGAAACGTACGATTTATGACTTAATTAGTTTTTATATATTATTTTATATTATATATTTATAATTATAATTATTAAATCCATTTAATTCGATTCAGATCGTTTAATTATTTAATTTGCATTGGAAAAAACGAGTGAAATTTATTAACAATCTTTTCAAACCTTCTATCGCAATATGTCCGGCTTATTCATCATTTTAATTTATTCATTTATTACATAATAATTCAATTGATGTTGACATCAAGTATTATTATTGTAATTGCGTTAGACCTGCATCACCGGCAGCTACAGTAGTGTACCGGGTGACTGCACGAGCTACCAGGCGTGCCTTTGGGGCCGTCAAGAAGTGTTCAGCTGCGCACCGGGTTTGCACTTCAACAAAGAGACTCGTATATGTGACTGGCCGTCCCGAGCGAAATGCACGGACGACGTTGGTGACAAGGAAATTACCACGCAGTCGACAACGACATCCTCGCATCCCTCAACCACCTACACGGAATTCACTACGGAAAAGACATTGACTACGTCGACCGTTAGTCAACTTACATCGACTTTATCTCCAGCGATTATAGACCCTGATAAAGTCTCCCCGCTATCCGGCTACTACAAGGTTGTGTGCTATTTTACAAACTGGGCTTGGTATCGTCGTGGAATTGGCCGTTATTTGCCAGAACATATCGATCACACTCTATGCACGCATATCGTATATGGTTTCGCGGTGCTGGACTACTCCGAAATGATAATCAAAGCGCATGACTCCTGGGCGGACTTTGACAATCGTTTCTACGAGCGGGTGGTAGCGTATAAAAAGCGAGGTCTTAAGGTGCTCCTCGCGCTTGGCGGATGGAACGACTCGGCCGGTGACAAATACAGCCGATTAGTGAACAATCCTTCCGCTAGAAAGAAGTTTATCAATCATGCCCTTCAGTTTATCGAAAAATATAACTTTGACGGATTAGATATGGACTGGGAATATCCCGTTTGTTGGCAGGTGAGTGCATTTTTTTCATTTAATAGGGTAACTCCAGTATACACGCTGCATCTAACTTAATTTATTAAGTATTATTTATTATGTTCAAGGTAAACGAACTATATCAGTAATAACTTTGTACTGTCTACTACTATGAAAAAAATATTAGAAATCCAAAATACTTATTTTTCGTATTAAAAAAAGAACTTTTTGAAACTCTTGCATTTTTGCCATATATCTGATGGGGGTGGGTTATCTAAAAGGAGGTGGCTACTCTTAAAGGAGATGGGGGAGTACACAGCGCTCACGAAAAATTTACAAATTTTTATAAATAAGACGTAAAATGACACAATAACTTATAAAATGTGTTTACAACGTTTTATTAAGGAATAAGAATGATAAAAGATCATAATATATATGAAGTAATAAATAATAATTACAATCTTCCTACATATATTACAAGTGTTATGACATGAGGTACATATTTCATGTAATATGTTTATTACATTTAGTGCACTAAAAACAAATCCAATCTGCGCACTTTGTATGCTTTGGGCATAAATCCCGCCCGCTAAAAATGCCGTATATTCTAAATAGGTGGAATATACAAGACAATAAACTAAACAAAGAATACAAGAGCAAAGCATACTTGTATTTTGTTATATAACATGGTTTACTATTTCTCTACACATATGTATCATGAAATAACTACTAAGTCTTTTACGTATCCTACAACCGTATAAACAAATCGTTTTATGTAAATTATAATTTATGACGCTACTTATTACAGTGACAAATCGATAAAACTCATAATAATTTCAATAATACTAACAAAAACCTGAAATCATAACATAAAGGCATGTAATAGAGTAGTTGTCGGAAAATTATCCCCACTCTTTCTACTTTTTCTGACTTTTGCGGCGTATATCCTCCCGCGGCGTATTTGCCGGAGTTACCCTAATATTAAATGAAACAATTACAAGTCCAAGTTTTTATTTATCATTGCTCTGTGACCCTATTTTTTATTATATAGTCTCTATGGAAATATTTCGAATATAATATTTCAAGACTATATGTTATTATAGATCTCTACTTCAAATCTCTATTCTTCTATCGTTCACATTTTTTTTACGCAATTTGTAAATCGTTTATAATAATTTTTATCTATTATTAACTCTTTTTAAATTTTGCCAATAGGTGAATTGTAACAAGGGGCCAGATTCGGATAAAGAAGGTTTTGCAGCTCTTTTACGCGAATTAAGTGCTGAATTTAAGCCGAAAGGATTACTTCTATCGGCAGCGGTCTCGCCGAGCAAGAAAGTAATCGACAAAGGCTACGACGTACCGTCGTTAGCCAAGTATCTGGATTGGATAGCTGTTATGGCATATGATTATCACGGACAGTGGGATAAACGAACTGGTCACGTTGCACCTTTATATTATCATCCGGATGACGAGTTTGACTACTTTAACGCTAACTATTCCATCAATTATTGGATCTCAAAGGGCGCACATCCTAGAAGCATCGTTATGGGTATGCCGTTGTATGGACAATCCTTCACAATCAACGATCCAAGCGCTGGGACTGGTTTAAATTCTCCGGCGAGCGCTGGAAACGCCGGGGAGTTCACTCGAGCTGCTGGTTTTCTGTCTTACTATGAGATCTGCGATAGAATACTCAATCGCGGTTGGATAGCGGTACAGGATCCAGAAGGTAGAATGGGACCATATGCCTACAAGGGCAGCCAATGGGTCAGCTTTGACGACTCAGAGATGATCAGGCGGAAAGCGCAATTCGTGCGCGACATGGGACTAGGTGGTGGTATGATATGGGCTCTGGATTTAGACGATTTCCGCGGACGATGTGATAACGGACCTCATCCACTGATGCACACAATCCAGCGGGTACTAGCGGAACCATCGAAAGAGCACAATAAGCCTCTGCAAAAGCCATCGATGTCGGCACCATCGCCATCGATGACGACGTTGACTGTTGAGCCTACACAAGCGATACGACCAACTACTACGGTAGATCGTGTTACACAGGACAGTTCCAAGAACGACGAATTTAAAGTCATCTGTTATTTTACAAACTGGGCCTGGTATCGACAGGAGGGTGGCAGATTTGTACCGGAGGATATAGATCCCGATCTCTGCACCCACGTGCTTTATGGATTCTCTGTCCTCGACGGTAGCAGCTTAACGATAAAGTCTCATGATCCCTGGGCCGATATAGATAACAAGTTTTATGACAGGGTAGCAGCATTCAAGGCAAAAGGTTTAAAGGTGTTGATGGCGTTGGGCGGTTGGAACGATTCGGCCGGAGACAAATACAGTAGATTGGTGAACTTGCCATCGGCTAGGCGAAGATTCATTACGCAAGTTCTTGTCTTCATTGAGAAATACGGCTTCGAGGGCCTTGATCTTGACTGGGAGTACCCAGTATGCTGGCAAGTAGATTGCAACAAGGGTCCGGAATCCGATAAGCAAAACTTCGCTGAACTGGTAAAGGAATTGAGCGATGAATTCAAGCCGCGAGGATTGCTTCTCTCTGCGGCCGTTTCACCGAGCAAGAGAGTGATCGATGCGGGATATGATGTTCCCGTTTTGTCGAAATATCTGGATTGGATATCCGTTATGACATACGACTTTCATGGTCAATGGGATAAGAAAACTGGCCACGTAGCACCATTGTATAGTCTTCCGAACGACTGGGAACCGACATTTAATGCCGTAAGCTTTACTTTGATTATTTACATTAAAAATTACACTAATCTCGGAAGTTTTAAAACTCCTGAGTACTCACCTCAGCAATATTGAATCGTGATGCCATAAGCAAGAAATGACACGTTGATTTTTCTTACATGTACGCCGTATTTGTAAATAAAGACTATCAATATCCCTTGTTAGAGTCAGTATAAAATATATAGTCGTAAAAGTACGTAAATTGTGTTTGCTTATTTACTCAATAATTTTTACTCAATTCGCATGCGTAGCCTATTTTTACTTCGCGAATTATTTAAGTATTTACCGACTGACAGAGTCGATCTCGATCTATTTTTACAAGTGTTTTATAACCACGATCTCATTATTCCATTTTATTCAATTTGTCTTTACTTATTATATTTATAAATGACGTACAAAAAAATCAAATCGCAATGTGTTGCTTGTGACATTTCTCGCTTATAACGTCACGATTCAATATGGCTAAAGTGAATACTTAGAAGTCTTAAAATGAATTGATTCTTTGCCATTAGAACTTTTCGATTCATTATTGGATAGAGAAAGGTGCAAATCCAAAAAAGTTAGTGATGGGCGCTCCTTTGTACGGCCAATCATTTTCACTTGCGGAGAGAAACATACATGATTTAAACGCGCCAACTTATGGCGGTGGCGAGGCTGGAGAAGCGACCAGAGCAAGAGGCTTTTTGTCATACTACGAGGTCAGCTCAGTATTTTGAAGAAAGAATTTATTGAAAATAAAAATAGGAGTAAATAAGAATATTAAATTATTTCTAATAAGTACATGCAAAAGAATATTAATTTTTAATGTCCCGCAAAAGATATTTATTTCTGAAGTAAATAAATACAATCTAATATACTCTTTTACTTTATGGAAGATATGTGAAAGAACGTTGAAGAAGGGATGGACAGTCGTTCAAGATAGAGAGAGAAGAATCGGCCCCTACGCCTACAAGGGTGATCAATGGGTAAGCTTCGACGATGCCCAACAAATCAAACTGAAGGCAGAATTGATCAAGAAACTTGGCCTCGGCGGTGGTATGATTTGGGCTTTGGATCTAGACGACTTCAAGAACAGGTGTGGATGTGAACCCAGCCCGCTATTGAGGACGATGAATCGAGTTTTGAGGAACTATCCAAAGGGCCCGCTGTGTCCCATTACAGAAGGTAATGTATTATTGTATATTGATATCGCTTACAAAATCGAAAACTATATTTTACTCAAACTGACTTATAATATATAATAGAAAAAATAGCTTATTTTCTATTATAGGGGGAAGTTGTCTATATCGTACCCCCTAACGTTAAACAAAATTACTGAACAAAAGTACTGAAGAGATCAGAATTATTTCTGTACTTACATTAAACTTTGGTTCATTGGCAATAAAACAAAACGATACTTTTGCGAAAATAAACATTAAATTATTGTTTAAATTAGATTTAAAAAAAAGTAGCTTTCGGTACGATTTGGAGATCAGTTAAATTGTATCACCTGGTTCCTAAATCGTATTTCTAACCTAGCAAACAAGCTGACATTGCTTATTGTCATTACTTGGAATTAAGTGTGGAAAAATGTTAAGAAATTGCGTATTCGTACCTGTAATACTGATGAAAGCCAGTAAAAATCAGTATATTAAAAAATCTTGTTCTTCGGAGTCCTTATATTCTTCAGAGTTATAAATCTTTAAATTATTCGCGTCCGATGCTAATAGGTATACCTAACTTATAAGCATGACCTATCAATGCGTATGAGACACAAGGAGATTATGGGAGCTCGCGTCACTTTTACGAAAAGTACCGGTACAATATAGCGACAAGTACGATTTACCTAACTTCCTCTATTTTTACAAATTTGCCAATAGCAATATGATTTACAAATATTTTGCTAATTTGACACTATAATCGAAAAGAGTTTAAATATCAATTATAACCCTAAAGAACACTATAATTTAATTACCCATCTTGTACTGATAACACCTCCGATAACAAAATGATGCCAATTTGCGCGCAAATTGGCATTATTTTGCTATCAGGGTAATAACTGCTGCCAAACTGCTGACATGTTTTGCCAGCAGATTGGTAGCAAAAACCGAACAGAGTCTGCTGACAATACAGACTCTGTCTACAATTTGTTGCCAATTTGCAATCGAACATTGTCAGCAGGTTCTGCTCCAAATCTGTTTCCGCAGGCTTTGCTATCAGGGACCTTAAGTAAATTGTATCAAAACTTAGATTAGACACCGAACAAAATCAATTTTTAATATCGCGTAATCAGACCACTCGAAGACAAAACAAAAATAGATAGTTCTTAACTCATATTACCAGCGTCATTATCTTTAAAAAAAAATGTTTTGTTTAGAAAATACAATGGAGGTACGGTTTAACCATCGGTACGACAGTGAAAAATAATCGCAGTCAAAAAATAAAAAAAAGCGTTTTAAAGATTGAAATCTCTACTTTTGAAATCCTGTAATTGAAATTTCAATATAACTGACCTTTACGGAATTATACGGACCCAAATAAATATCTCTCAAATCTAAAACTTTTGCACAATCTTTGCAAAGGTCTACGAGTTAAAAATTATACAAAAATGCCATTTATAGTAGTCGAAAGAGTGAATCTTTATTTTTAATTTGTTTTCTTATCGTTGTACGATTTTTTTTCACCGAGTTATTCAACATAGAAGCAAAAGTGACACTTTTACATTAACAGGTACAGAAGCGATTATAGTCGATGTCGACCAAAGCAATATTGAATCTACGACTGTCACCGAACGTCCCATATACGAATCCACTACATCACAAAGACCTACATATATACCACCAGCGACGATTCCTACAACGACTGTATTAGATCCAGACATCGATGATACCATCGAGATTGAAGCCAGCCCACCTCCTCCGGCGGATTGCGGAGGGCATTTATTCATACCGCACAAAAGCGACTGCACTAAGTATTATCTATGCAACTTCGGTAAGATCTCGGAACAGTCTTGTCCACCTGGATTATATTGGAATGAAGATCGATGCGACTGGCCGGAGAACACCAAATGCAAGACTGCTGAGCGTCGAGTACGTATCGCGACGAATATAAGTTTTTTATTAGCAGGTTATTTTAATACAAATGTAAAGCATGTTGCAACATAAAAAAATCGCGAGATTTATTCTGTCGATTTCGTAGAGCAGCCTGTTGCCGAGATTTAGACTTGCCAAAAATATAAATGAAAAAAAAATAGTTTGTTACTACACGAATTGGACTTGGAGACGCTCAAACTTTGGCAGCTTCACTCCTGAGGACATCGACGGGACGCTTTGTACGCATATCGTGTACGCCTTTGCTACTCTGGAAGAGGATACATTTCTTCTAAACATCGATGACTCTGACAATGTCTACAGGAGTTTTCTTAACAAATCAGCGGAAATTAAAAGAAGAAACGGCGTTAAGATATTACTCGGTTTAGGTGGATGGAACGATTCAGAGGACGATAAGTATAGCAGATTGGTAGGCAGTCCGCAGTCGACTAGAAAAAGTTTTGCTGGATACACCGCAAGAATCATCGAGCAATACGGATTTGATGGACTTAATCTTGATTGGGAGTTTCCAGTATGCTGGCAGGTAAGCTACTGAAATGTCTTCTTTTTTTCTCAGTGTAATTGTATAATAATTATTCTTTCAAAATGTATTATCAGGGACATTTTACTTGATAACATTTAAAGGAGATTTTAATTTCGAGAAAAAGATTTTGCCAAAAGATATATTTTAATATCGAACAAGAAATTATTCTTCAAATATTCTTTACTTCAGTAAAATTTTCTATTTATTAATATAGATCTCAAATATTATATTAGATTAAGGATGCTAATTATATAGCAATTACTTAAAAACCAAATGTTTCGGTTAGGGCGACTGTAGCCGTGGTCCTACAGAAGACCGCGAAAACTTCGTCGAATTTCTCAAAGAGCTCAATGAAGCGTTAACATCTAGAGGACTTCTGTTATCCATCGTGGTCTCAGCAAACAAGATTATCATCGATCGAAGTTACACCAACATCCCGCTCTTAGCACGATACGTGAATTGGATCGGTGTAGTAACGTACGACTATCACACTGGCATGGGAAGCGAAACAGGTCATGTTGCGCCGCTTTATCATCATCCCGATGATGTTAGCCCGTTCCTAAATGCGAACTTCTCCGTGACGTATTGGATCAACAAGGGCGTGCCAGCCGAGATGATCGTCCTGGGGATACCCACCTACGGATCAAGTTTCACCTTGTTTGAAAAGTCGTTGGATAGACCGGGCTTCCACGTGAAAGCTGACGGACCTGGAGAACCCGGCAAGTTTACGAGATCGGCTGGGATCCTAGCCTATCACGAGGTAAGAATCAACTACGCTGTATAAATCAAATCGCAAAACTATTATAGGACACTATTAAATGTTTCACTCTTTGATATCGCTACGCAAGATATGTGATAATGTGAAGAACAACAGCTGGTCCGTGACGAAAGATTCGAAGGGCCGCGTGGGACCGTACGCGTCGAAACGCGATCAGTGGGTCAGCTATGACGACGTATCTAATATAGCAAAAAAGGTAAGTGTGTAATATATAAGAATCATACGTCTGAATATACGCGTTTAAATACACTTCTCAACAAGATTAAAGGATCACTTGTTCCACCCTGCAAAAATAGGCAAATTTTGAGATAGAATAACTTCGTCAAATCATCGTATCAAGATGTTTAAAAAAGCATTGTAAAGCTTGAAATCTCTACTTTTCAGACCGGTATTCCAAAAAATAGTTTTACTGATAATTCGTAAAGTTATACAAACATTAATAAAAGTGCGTTAAACCTGAAAATTTTATACAAAATTTGAGGAGTTCCACGGAGCCAAGTAAACCATATTTGTGCACAATTTTTACTTGGCTCCGTGAAACTCCTCAAATTTTGTATAAAATTTTCAGGTTAAACGCACTTTTATTAATGTTTGTATAACTTTACGAATTATCAGTAAAACTATTTTTTGGAATACCGGTCTGAAAAGTAGAGATTTCAAGCTTTACAATGCTTTTTTAAACATCTTGATACGATGATTTTTGACGAAGTTATTCTATCTCAAAATTTGCCTATTTTTGCAGGGTGGAACAAGTGATCCTTTAATTTTGTTGAGAAGTGTATATATATCTCATATGGTATATGTTCGTTCACAAACGGTTCGTTATATAAAAATGCATGATTCATTGTGTAGGCATGATCGCAAAGTCATCGATAAAAATTTAGCGTGCTATTTTGCAATCTTAAAGCGTTTGGTAACTCTCGATTCGTTTACTTATACAACGTTCGTATTTCTATTGAGTTATTACCTCGTAATTAAAAATCATCTATCTCACTCTCAGGCTGAGCTAATAAAGAAGCTGAATCTCGGCGGCGGAATGATTTGGTCCTTGGACTTGGACGACTTTAGGGGCTTGTGTGGATGTGGGAAGTATCCACTCTTGACAGCTCTGAATAACGGACTCGGAAGAGGAAACGGTCATGCAACGGACTGTACTTGAGTTGCGAAATCGCGATAATGTAAAAGGGCGATAACGCCTCAAAGGATTTTTTATCGCTCAAGAGTCCATGATTTTATTCGGCAACGTTTTATTTAATTTTTTTATCTCTATACGTATTTGTTATGACGACTAAATTTTTTTATGAACGCTCTTACCGAACATACAGATATTACGATCCTTCTCTTACATAGTTTGAAAAGCGTGGACATCTTTATAATCACGAATATTATACATCTTAGATTCTTTTGCCGAATAAAGGATTAATATTAAATATAGTATTAAGTTGTGCAAATTGCTCAATACGGACAAAAGATCGTATTTACAACAAACACGTTTTGTAAAAAAAGTAGCGCATGCGTACCGGTCGTGAATTGATTCCTCTCGAATGTCATCTTGACCATGTTCCGATATACACTGCCAGTACTGAAATTCTATACTTACGTGAATTAAAGATTTTTAATATTGGTCCTTATCGAGCGCTTTTTTATGATAAAGACCTTTTACGTATGTTATCGCAACACAGGTGATACGCCGATGTTAGACTTCATTGTATGCGCTGTTCTATTTTTACCGTTATTATGTGGATAAAGTAAACGCGAATTAATTCAGTAGTCAACTGAAATAACATGGAAATTTTTCATCAATTTTCTAATAAACTCACGCGATGTTTTACTAAAATTTCTTGCGATAGATAAGATATATTATGTATGTGTGTTAACATGCATGGGATGCATTATAAGATATTCCAGTGAGAAATGATGACATCGAATTGATGTCGATTCGACGTCGATTCCATTATCATTTCTCACTGGGATATAAAAGAGTGCCTTAATAACAGGATGATAGATTGCGATACTTTTCCAGATGACGTGAATGACAAAAGAAAAGAGAAAGGAGAAAATAAAAGATCATACGTAATGGTCGTATGCATCTCGAAACTCATCTCCTTCCGTGCATATTTTTACGTCACCTGCGAAGATTATAATCCTCGTGTTAGCGTTAAGTGTTTTGTAATTAAGATTGTAATTAAGATTGTCCTGCCTGATGATCGTGCATTTATCAAGAACATTGACAAAATGACTCCCCGAGGATTAAATAAAAATCAGTAGAGCGACTAGAGAAAGATAAATTTTATATTACTATACTGTTTTGAACACATCACTGAATCAATAAATTCATCAATATATAAATATGATTACACTGATTGAACTGATATGCTTGTAATGTCTACAAAAATCATGAATATAATTGAGGTAAATGATAAAAAAGAAAAAAGAATGAAGCGAAACATAAACACTGCATCAATTTTAATTTAAATTAATTTAAAACGATAATAATAAAAAAATCAAAATGTTAACAAATAAAAAAGTAGAAAAATTGAACAAATTTACGTTTAAAGTTTGTCAGAGAATTTGCGTGATGAATCAAATTATGGTTCGCTTATAGTAAACAAATTTAATATGTAGATATACTTTAAAAAAATTTTTAATAGTATCAAATATATCATATTAAACGAGGGTTAAAGAAAATTGCAAGATATCTGCAATCATTTCCAATTATGATGTTGCATTTCCATACAACTTACATCTTCCACAGCAAACATTTTCTATAAAGACTCAACAGATCTCTGATAGATCCATTACTAAATTATCTTAATGAGTTCCGAATAAAAACTCAACTGTTTCTTATATCCGAATTCTAAGATCGCGTTCAGAAATGTACTGAATCTTTTATAATAAAGATAAAGGAATAGTAAAAAAGTTAAATAATTTCTAGAAATGTTATCTCAAGTTTTATAGCATCAATTTAGACACTTTTTGAATTTACAAGATAAGATAAATTTTCTATTAGCACGTGTGCAGGTAATCACGTGAAAATAGAGGCTAATATGCAATTAATTGCAAAATTATAAACAAATAGTCGTTTTTTGTCATGTCGTAATAAATTCTCTAAATAAAAACTTGAGAGTGCCGTTCTTTTTCCCCCTCGAAATGGAACACGTGTGTCTTAACTTTTTTTTGTATCTTTATATTTTTCGAGATAATCAGCTGGAAATTTTTCAAATGAACACCCTGTATATATATATACATATTATAAGAATTTTATTTTAATTTTATACTTTCTACGATTTTACGAAACTCGAGTTCTTCAAAAGTGATTTGACAGTAAAATACAACGTTACATACTTTGCATTTCATTTTGTGTGCTAATAGTTTTCTATGATAAACCATATAGCTTTAAGTCTTAAACTGTAAGAAATTGACTAATCGCAGTCGAATGTGTAAGAAGAACAATCGATTATAATTAATTGATCAATTTCTTAAGACTTAATGCTTAGATAATGGCTTTCTCAGGACGATTCTGTTTCTATTCACGCGCATCTTCTTCTACGCAGATCTACGCGTGTACATTGCTTTGACATGCGAGTTGTCTAAAATCAAATGAGACAACGGTATTGGCTGTCTGATCGCTATCGTCAGCCAGTATACGCGCTGGCCATGACAATCAAAAGAAGCGGAAAGAAGTATAAGTGACTGCGTAGTGATGATTAGTCAGACTGCAATCCACGTCGGCGTCGGTTGATACCGTGCAATTTGTGTATATGGTACACTTGAAAATCTCTGAACGTCGCGAACTTCGTTTACGTGTCGACCAATGAAAGACGCAATGGACGAGAATCAAGGTATGTCTTATTGAGATGTAAAATAAAAAATTAGTACAGAATTAAACAAAATCTCGTGGAGAATTAGGAGTTCTCTAAAATATTTTAAGATGGTTATACAAATTGATACAATACTTACATATCCTGTGTTTGACATCGAAATTTATGATATAAATTAATATTAATTTTAATATGTATTTAACATAAATTTGTAATATTAATCATTTTTATATTTTTTTTTACTAAAATCGTGATCCAATTTTATTCAGTTTCTACTTAGAACGAGTTGTTATTGCTCGCGACAATAAAATAACACAGCAGTGTGTAAGAATTTGCATAATCAATTGTGCTGTAAAAATTAATTCTGCGCGCAGAATAATTTTATTTAAGAGAAAAAAGAAAAAAAGATAAATTCGATTTGGATCCATGTCATATTAAGCTAGTTATAGGTGATGATATAAGTACATCGTGCGTTTTGTTGTCGCACAAGCACCGTTACTATTTTTACCTGGGGACTCGTTTAAAGATCGACATCACATATGTTGTATTTTCTGAACATCATAATGCATCATGTGGAATCACACTTGTCACATCCGCGTCGCCGGTATCAATGCAATACACAGTGCAATCGGCAATTTGTGGTTACGAGCGTACGCAATGTATTTTTTATTGTGTGAGGACGTTCTATTTTTGCTTCGTGAATTTTCGATGCGAAATTCGAGCGCCAGCACGGCATTCGGTTCTCGGTATCTTCTTATACGATGGCAGATCGTACACATAATCCAAAGAGCAAACTCCGTTATATTGACCGTTAATATCATATTTTCTCTCCTTTTATAAATACATTCTTTCTACTTTTCCTTCTTCTTCTGGTAAAGATCTCTTACTAAAAAGGAAGTTGTTACATTCATCAGACTAAGTATTCGTATCCGCCGAAAAATGTAAATAGAAAGAGATAAAAGAGAAAGCGATGGAAGGCAAAGCTATAAACTGCAAGGCAGAGAGATAAAAGCGCTGCTAGGTAGAGATTTAGTCAAAATATATGTATTAACAATATGGAGCAATAAATCCGGAACAAAAAATCCGATGTGTCAAAAATTTATTTTAAAAATAAATTTATTCAAAGAAGTAAAAGAAAATATAAACTTTGAACATAGGTACAAAGACGCAAATCTTTACCTGTGCGAAACGCGATATATGGATCAATTGGCAGATCTCGCCTCCTAGCAATCAATCTTTTATTGCAACGGAACAACCACGCACTTATTCAGTTTCTGAAAGTGTAAAAGGAGATTTATTTCAAAGAGTTTAGAAAATGTATAAGATGCAATTATAGCGTAACTGAATAATTATACAAGCTTTGACATGTATTTCGTAACGTCGCATTTACACGCGCATTAAGTGTTAAATATGAATCAATGTCCAGGAATTCCATAGTCACGCTTTGTTGGACTCCTCCAACGATACACGTTTGCGTAGCTGTGCAAGAACGTAAAAGTGCGACGTATAGGGTGTCTAGAAAAACAAAATATTTCTTAAAGAAATTAAACTCATTTCTTTTTAATTTCGCATATTATAAATAAACTTCTTTCCAATTTTTTTCGCACTTTTTGCGTTTACGTTAACAGATATGTGATTAGAATTTGAAAATAATAAAAAAAGTAGCGAGAAATCATGAAAAATGCTGCCAAAAAGGAGAAAAAAAGGATAAATTTTAAGAATATTAAAGTATATTCTTTCTAGAGGAAATTTAGATGTTATCGATGGTAATTTCTTCTTATACTTTTCATAAATTTCTGATTATTTTTTTTACGTTGAAGGCGCAAAGGATAATACAGTACAAGAAAAATACTAAATTTAACCTTTCGAATAATAATAATAAAAAAAAATAATAATTAAAATGGATTTCTTACATTAAAATAAACAAAGAAAATTTTAATTCGATTAAATAGAAGTCAGCGCAATAAGAAGTGTGCAAAACAATAGTATAATGATAATTCACTACAATAAGATATATAATTACATAGAAGTTACCAAAAGAAGTGTGATTACAACGACGTTAAAAATTTTCAGACGTTTCGGCCATACAATTTGATTAAACATTTTGATTAAAGCTTTTGATTAGGGCACCCTTTATATCATTTGACCTTGCGCATGCTTCGTTTCTCGCTTGAGAATTTATAAAAAGTATAAGACAGAGAAGGCAAAACAAAAAGTATTCACGTTTACATCTGAAAACGTGTCCCAGCGGAACTAAAAATTTATCTGCTAATAGTAGCACTTTAATATCGGGAAACATGATAGTGGCTCGCGCGCTAATTCTACATTATTTTTTACGAGATTCGAAACTCACGCACCGAGAATACGTTCGAGAATTGAAAATAGGATTAAAGTTCGCGACGAGCTGAAATTTGTTTTAGTAACTAAATACATTACATTTTTTTACCTTTGCTTTCTTTTTCTTTAACGAGTGTGTAATTAACTACATTTACAATTTGGGGGAGAAAAAAAAGGGGGGGATTATACATATATTACTTT